TTATATTAAGGGCCCATCCTACTCCAGTATGACCTCATCTTAACTAATTACGTCTACAATAGCCCTGTTTCCAAACAAGGTCACATTCTGTGGTACTGGGGGAGGTTAGGACTTCAACATATGGATTTTAGGGGGACACAATTCAACCCCTAAGAGATAGTTTGAGACCAGGATTGGAGGGCCTTGGAGAACATTTAAAAAGTTTCATATTTGTCCTGCGGGAAGCTTTTGAAAGGTTTTGAATACAGTAGTGATACGATTAAAGAGTATTTCAGAAAAATTGATTTGATAGCAATGTTTTATCAGAGTTATTTATCAGAAAGTTAAGCTCAAAAGTCATTTTGGGGGGAAGCGGGTGGGGGAACTCATAGACTCTAGAAAATCAGACTTGGAAAAACACAAGACCAAGTCCACTCCAGGGGTCTAGGTAGAAGGAATTACTCTACAGAATTGTCATGACGCCTTGCCTGAAATACCTTAGATCTGACCATTTTCAGTCTTCGTATTACATCTGATCAATATTTGTATTCCAAGAGAAAGCATGTGATGGTCTGTCTTGGGTTGTAGGTCTGCTTTTGGGGGTTGGAGGTGAGGTCACCTTGATTAACAGTCCCAGATGCAACGCAAGAGAGGTAATTATCTGAAAGAAAATTGGAGCATTGTTACTAAAAGAGCAAATGTCCACAACAAATGCATGAAGAAAGAACCTAGAGGCAGGGAGCTAGTGAGAAGATCATTTCAAAAGTGCCAGATGATGTGATGAGGTACTGGACTAGGGTGAGGAGATACTACGAGGAAAGTTTTACAGTATCCAAAAACTGTTTGATGATGAGAGGGCGTGGGATATGCACATAGTGATTTGAGGGTGATGACAAAAACAGTATGTGCTCAGGAGGGGCAGCTAGTTTTACAGGAAAGTGTAGAAACATTTGTACTTTTTGGCTGCCCAGCACCCAAATATTCTTCGTATTTTGGCAGGAGCCCAAAATAAGAAGACAGAGTTCTCCCTTCTACCATAGGAGCCAAAAGTGTGTGTGCAGGAGCAGATAATCTCTCTCCAAGATTCTACATGCAGTAGCTAAATTGTAGGTATGTCACCTAGGCATGTCTAGATACTCCCATCTGGAGCTTTGGTTCTTGTGGGAGTGATGGAAGAGGGCAGTGGATGGTCAGAGATTATATTTTTGTGGCAGAGTTGTGAGTCCAGAAGCATGAGAGTGTTTGGTGGTGAGGACATAGAGGCAGCATCCCCAGGAGGCTGGGTCTGTGGAGGGGGGTTGTGGCTGTGTTTTGGCTCCTCTTGGTTTCTGCTATTTTCTGAGGCTGGTTCTCTGGCCCTCCATTGATCCTGTGAGCTAGCCCACATACACTTCCAATCAATTCATTTTCTACTTAAGTTGAAAGTTTGTTCCTTTTGTTAGGAAAGATGGATGATGATGTACAGAGGCTACAGTGGAGTTGACAGTGACTGGCATTTTAGTCATGATGAATGAAGGTAAATAGCATGTCAGTCACACAGAAATGTCCAGAGTCAGCTGGATAAGTACAAGGAGTGCACGCAAGGAGTCAGTATGGAGGTGGAGTGGGTTGTTATCTACCTAGATGTGATTAAGACAGTTATGACAGTGGATGGTTTGCTGGGGAGAGAGAATATGAAGAGAGAAAGGAATGCCAAGGGCTAATCTTTGGAGTATCCCACAGTGAGAGAATAGGAGAAAAAAGAAATGAATAATAGCAATCATAGAGGTGGGTGGAAAGACAATATAGTTCAATCAAAGAGGAGGAAGGACAGAAGATCAAGGAGAATGCAAAGGGTCAAATGGGTCATGAAGTGTTCAAAGAGAATGAGAGCTAAGTATAATTTATTCAATTTGCCATTTGTAGCACTTAAAAATTATAAATATCAAAGCAAAATATAACCTATGTAGTGCTAACATTCATTTGAATGCCTGCTATGTGGCAGTCCCTGTGGTAAGCACTCTATGTGTATTATTGTATGTGAAATAGATAATATTATTATTATCTGCCTTACGTATATAAAGAAACTGAAACTTAGTTAAATGAAGTGATATGCCTTTGTTCACATGGCCAATAAGTTGCAGATCTGGGATAAAAACAGATTTGTAGGATTCCAGAGGCCGTGTTCTTAATCATGCCACTATAGTTAATAAGCATGGCGAGGTGAGCATATTTTAATACACAACTTAAAGCTGCGTTTGCCAGCCCTGTTAAACCTTTTGATATAACACACTAATCTCTCGCTCCCTTTGCTGTCAATTCATGTGCACCTTGTCCCATTTTATAGTTTCATGCTATTGGATCTTTGCCACTTATAAATGCAGTCAGATAAGGATGAGTTTTAAAAATAAGCTGTGATTATGCTCAGAATCTTTGGATTTGAATGATTCTTAGTACCAGAAAGTTTGTAAACCATAGGAGCCTCTGCTCTCATAATTTGATTGTTTTGACTTAACCCAAATAACTTGTACAATACTTTCAACAGTTTCCTTAAAATGTACCAGGAAATTGAGAAAAATCACGTACGCAATGATTTACATGGATGCACGTATATTTACATATATTCAACATATATCTCTGCTCTCTCTTTAATACAACATTTGCATTTTAAGCCTACAAAGAGGAAAATCATTCAGAAGTCATCACTTCCCTTCTTTTTTTCTTCTCCCTCCCTGCCACTCTAGCATAATAATTCGTTCTGGACCTAATGTTAGACCACTCGGAATTAACTCTTGGCTGTGTCACTTATTAAGTATTTGGCTGTAGGCAAGATATTTAGCCACTCTGAGCCTCCATTTCTCACCTGGAAGTGAAGATTACAATAGTACCTATTTTATTGGGTTCCTTTGAAGACTAAAAAAGATACGTTGGGTAGAGTAAGAATAGTGCCTGGCATATAGTGAGTCCTCATTAAATGTTGATTATCATTATTCCGGGTTGCCTCAATCTCAGCGGTAGGCACGAAAACTTGTTTGCTGGTCTTGGCATGTAGTTTATTTAGAGCCTTCAAATGTCTGCTATCATCTCTCTTTCCCACCAGCTGCCTTCTCCTGTCCATCTTTCATGTTTCCCACTTTTCATCAAAATAGGATTTAATAGTATTCTTATGTGACCATCTTGACTAACCTTATGAATATGACCATTTCATCCACTCAAGTGTTTTCTCAACTTTTAAGTCAGTTGTTTCTCACCATGATACCAATTTACAGTTCCTTTGAACATCAGGTTTTAGGTGTTTTTAAGTTATTTTTTTCTCACTCTTATTTTATGTTGTTATAGTGTGGAAAGTTAACTGAGCTAGTGTTAGGAGGCTTAAGTTACAATTCCTGCTCTGATACTAACTAGCTGTGTTGCTTTGGACATAGCCTGTGTGCTGGTTGGGTCTCATTTGTAACTTCTGGAAAATAGGGGATTGGGTTAAGAATAAAAGCTAACATTGAGTGATTTCTGTTTGCTAGGTACTTTTCCACCAGTTTTATAAAAACCTGTGGAGTAAGCTCTATAATTATGCTCATTGTACAATGAGGCAACTGAGGCTCAGACTGCTAACTAATTTGCTTCAGCTGAGCTAGGTTTGTTTAACATTTGAGTTTATACTTTTATGTCTCTAATGACTCTAGAAGGTAATGAACCTCTTGGAATCTAGACCGATATTGTTTGGTTTTTTTGTTTGTGTGTTTTTAAAAATATAATTCTTATACAAAGCGGGGCCAATAGTCTTGATTGCCTCTCCACTTGAAAGCTAAAAGTGCCTACCTCTGCTGTGAGGAACCGGAGCTAACCAAAGTTTGGGTAAGTTAAAAAAAAACCTGATATATGCATAAGATCATTATCAACATTTTAGAAAAAATGCAACTCATTTTTTTCTAACATTTGGTTTCAAAAAGCTTTTAAAAATATAAAACTCAGACTTTTGAATTCAAAATTCTTTCGGGATTCTTCTTTCTATGCTTGTAGAACTAGGTCACTGAGTAATATTTAAGATTTTCTTTTGTTCTTAACCTTTAAGAAATGTTGACATTGGGATAAAGAGTTGTATTTTTATCTCAAAAATCTGATAAAGATGATAAATTAGTGTTTAGACAGTCTGAGGAAAATAGACCTGTAGAGGACCCAGAGCTGGACTAACCTACAATTGAACTGGTTAATTTTCCCATAATGTTGGAAAACGGAACAAAATTTCATAGTAAGATCTCTCCTCCCTTCTTGAATGCCCCCTCTAAGGGGAATTATTCAGACCAGTGGATAAGAATATAAGTGCCTTCATGGCTAGTCATGATTCTAGAGAATTCAAACAAAATATTTCCTAATCTTTAGGTCAAAATGAATTTTCTTTTGCTTGATTTACTGTGCCCATCAACGTTTCCCAGAATGCAATCCACAAAACACTATTTCTTTGAAAAAAGGATTCTGTGTTCAGATACATTGGGTAACTCTGGGTGAAGCAAAACTGAAAAAAAAAGTTTTAAATTGTAGTTCTCCCAGTATTTAGTATTGAAAATGCACTTAATTTTTTGATCAATGTTGTGCATTGGTTTGATATGATTTCGTATCCAGCTGTTTACGAGACAAATGAAGTTGTTTTCAAGAGTGAAGTTGTTTTGATCTAAGGATGAAGTTTTTATAAGTAAAGTTGTTTTGATATAAGAATGAAGTGAGCTGTGTCAGGGTGTCATCATCTCATCTGTGGTCGTTGATAAGCACGCAGCAGCTCAGGTGCTAAGGGACACTGCTCGGGGCCTCTCAATGATAACATGTGGAGAAGCAACTATGGTGAGGGAACAGTTAGACTATAAATATGGAAAGTTTGTGAGGACTATTTGAGAGTGCTCCGTCTGGGCAAGGTGACCCTTTGCTGATCCAAATAGCTCTCCAAAGGCCTTGGGGCATTAGCTCCTGCCGTGGTAAAGGCCACTCTTTTACTGGCAGCAGTGAAAGCCATGCAGAGGCCTATGAAGAAGATCATCTTTCCCGCCAACACGGACACCGCTCTTCCGTAGCAACCTGTTCTAGCAACAGGGACTTCACTTTTGCACTGGCAGCTGGACATTAGCTCTCAGTTGGTCAAGTTGTCTCTCCTGAGAACCAACTCGTAGAAAAGGTCCACCCCAACTAAATTTGGACTCTCTTTCTTTTATCTCCCCTTGCCTGGAACAATAGTGTGATTAATCTATCATTGGTTTGGAGTATGTTATTTCTTTATTGGCTTATTAAGAAACATTATCCTGTATGCTATTGGCTTGTGAAATTATTATAATTCCTGCAGTGAACCTGTGTTAAATAAATTGCTGCCAAAGACAAACTCAGTCTCTGAGCATAGTTTTGCCCCTGAAACAAAGCAATCAACAAATAGTTTTTAAGTACCTTCCACGGGCCCAACACTGTACTAGCTTTCAGGCCACAGAAAAAGCATTCTTCCTGCCCTCAGGGAAGTAAGGGCTGGTGAAGATGTCTTGTCAACCTGCAAGCAAATGTAAGGTTTGCAGTTTCTCTTACTTTTTTTGACCACAAGAATATTTTCTATCCTTCCTCCCTTTCTCCCTCCCTCCCTCCCTTCTTTTCTTCCTTCCTTCCTCTCTCTTTCTTCTTCCTTCTTTCCTTCCTTCCTTCCTTCCTTCCTTCCTTCCTTCCTTCCTCCTTCCTTCTTCTTTCCTCTCCCTCTTCCTTCCCTCCCTCTCTCCCTCCCTCCTTCCCTCCCTCTGTTCCTTCTTTCTTTTTTTGGTGGAGCATCTCTGGGGACTATTTTTTTGAGGAACATGCTTTGGAAAAGTGTAGGACTACACTTATTAATAGATTCCCTGGCTATTACTTTTCTCAGTGTTTTCCCTAAGAAGTCCATATGCTAGAGAACAAGCAAGGATGAGCAAGCAATAAGGTAGACCCAATTAATGACTTTACACACTAGTATTCCCTGAGTGCACCTAGCCATGGTGAGGTCAGCACTGGGAACATACGGACAAGATAGGAAGCAAGTACTACGAAGTAGTGAAATTTTTCAGTGGTTTACTATCAACAAGGATGCTGATGGACAACATTTATATTTGGAAGTTTTCAGAATATTGATTACCAGTTTGAATTCTCATCAGAGGGATTCTGTGGGTGCAGCATCTTCTTTCCTGTCTAGTGGTGGGGAGATGCCGTCAGGAGACTACTTTGTGCTCGTAGGATTAAATGGCTCTGAGTATCTTTTCTTTGTGGAGAAGAACCAAGAAGGCAGAGGTTTGAGTTGATGAGAACAATAGCGGTGGGTGGGGGAAGAACGTGAGTCAGAAACACAACTTGGGGAGTTGAAATTATTTCCAACTTAAAGGCAAGTGTATCTTACATATAAGTGTAAGACCTGCTTCCCATAGAACCCTCAACGCTGCTTTACAAAATGAGTGACTAGTTTATGGTACTGGGATGGTATCAGCGAAAAACAAGGCTGTCTGTGTTAGACAGACCTGGACTTGAAACTAAGCTGCTTCATTTTCCATTGGGTGCCTATGACTTATAATTATTATGCTCTCAACTATGTGCAAAGACTCTGTGAAGGTTACGAAGATGGAACAAACAAGAACTTTGTCTTCAAAGAGCTTATGATTTGCATGGAAGATAAGGCATGTACTTTTACCCACGATAGACATAGAAAATGAATAAGGATCGTAAGAGTATTATGAAGTGCTAATTAACCATATATTTTCAGTTTACAATTTCCTTCATTTGAAATAATGAGAGGCTCTCATTAGCACCTGAAGACTCTATCACTGTGGATCTAATTTCTTAAGAAAAAATATTTTGTTGCCAAACATATCAAAATCAGTTAATTATTTAAACAGTTAACACAATTTTTACTAATAAACAGTTTGAATAACTTGTATAGTACTTCTAAGTTTCAACTTGCTTTCAAATTTATTTTCTCATTTGTCCCTTGTAACAATTAGATGTGATAAGACAGGTACTAGCCCTTATCTTTGACAGGTGAGGAAACTAAGGTTTAAGGTCATTGGATGATTTACCCAAGTTCAGCAAATGAGGTAGAGATGGAAAATAAAACCACAGTTTATTTGTTCCAATTCCTGTGTTCTTTCTTACAGATTGTGGTTTCCTAGCTGTTGGGCTTCAGAGTCTTAGAAAGGCTACAGATTTATTGTGAGAGGTTAGTGAATCCAAATTTACACCAAAAATTAACTATAGACTAAAGAAATACATTCTCACACATATATTCACTATTATTTCTCCATGCAGTAAAGATGCTATTGTGACAAATATCATCTCATTTAAGAATGTAATTAATTGGTATTTTTTTTGTTGTTATGCATTTTCTTCAACTATTATATGGAATGTCCATTATTATTATTATTAATATGGAAAAGGAATCCTTACTGCCTACTTCTCTAGAAGGAACTATTCTACTATTTTAAGTAAAATGCAAGTCAACCAACTGAAAGTAACATTGCAGGGAAGCTGTTTTCTATCTTTTCTTCTTTTTTTTAAAAAAAACACAACTTCCTTCTGGCCAATGCTTTGGAAGCCCGTGGTTTCTCTGTAGTCCAAAGTGCTATTTTTAGTCTGCACCCAAGGGCCTGGAATTCTCATATTGACACAGATGACCAAATTTTTCTTTTGATGAAGCTGTTGATGAAACAGAGTATAGAAGTCTGTTTCCACCTTCGTTTTTACAATTGCTCTTATGAGATATTAGAATATTTATGATTAGGTAATCCAGAAAACAAAAAATTTATCTTATAAATTTACATCAGATTAAACCAAAAAATGAGTTCTCCTGCTGTTATGTGAAATGACAAAATCTTTTCATTTAACTCCTTAATAAAAAGAAGCAGCTTTTGAACTGGGGTTTAGAAAATGTGTTTGTTATCTTGGGCCAGAAAAAAAACAATGGTAAGACCACAGGGAAGAAAGCTACACAAAAGAATGGTGAAATAGGAAAGAGAATCATATGAGCCCCCTCTTTCCATCCCCTTTCCCACATATCCCTCATTGCTAGGACACTTTTGACAATGAAAAGAAGCAGTGTTAAGAATTATGCTAGCATATACTGGACAGTGTCCCCCTAGCAAACTGGGAATCATGGTCTTCTTGCTTATCACAGCAGAGACAAATAATTATGAATTGGCTTCAGTAAGGTACATTCTAAAACAGTTCAAGAATTTTAGAATTCCTTCTCCACTGTCTCATGCTTGAACTCTGACTCCCTATATTAGCAAAATGGTATGCAAGCTTAGTTGCTTTATTGTTCAAAGTCAGCAAGAATAGAAATTTCTTCAAAATATGTTGTAGTGATACTCCCATTAATCCTCGTGTTTTAACTCTTTCATACGTCCTAGTACTATGGATAAGTGGTTGACAGAAATAAGTCTTTCCAAATATGCAAATAAGAGAGTATAATTACAATAAAATGTTATTTCTACTTAAAAATGAATGAGTTCTATTTCTTAAGGAAGTAAAAAATAAATTTAATTAAAAATTATTTTTGTAAAAATTAGTATGAATATAAATTTTCAAAGCATTTAACATCTTCTCCTAGTTTGTCTTCATTTAGCACACCATGTCTGGTACTCCGCGTTTGTTCCATTAATTTCATTTTTTTGTGCATTGTCACTTCTTACTGGTTAATTATTGGGTAATTTATTAAAAAAAGATGAAAATGGTTGACCATTCTAAAGATTAAAAAACAGAGATTTTTTTGCCCCCTTATTACGTGAATGATGTACTGAGACTTCTATGGAAATTCAAAAAGCATCCAAGAAAATAATTTATAATGATTTTTAAATAAAGAAAAAACACAATGAGCTTTAATACCAGAAAAGATGGCTGATGTAATCACATAAATATTCCTTACCGTCTTTTTAGGAATTGAAGGAGGCCAGAACTGGTAGATTATGTTTAGAACCTTTTTGATGTCGAAAGAAGAGGGAAAGCAGCTGGTAAAGTTTAAAGAATATAGTTGGAATTTTTTTTTTCAGGATTTTAGGTAGTTTAAGTCGTTTTTTATTCATGCAAAATTATATATATATTTTTAAAAATTTGTGTTCTACTTGAGGGCAAACAATATTCAGACCATTCTCATTACTCACAGTGGTTATTTCTATAAAGTCACTGAGAACACTGAATTAGTCAATATCCAAGATTTGCTCCTACGAGAAATACAAGGTTAGGTTCCTGGGGACCTCTGGTCACAACATTTTCAGCAGCTTATCAGTACATAACCTTGTTTTTAATGCGTGTTTCTATTTAAATACACCTTACTTAGTATGTATTGTTGATTCATTAACGTTGAACTCATGGCCAACAGCACTATCTCATGCCTAAACGAAGCTCATTTAACACACGTATTTTCCCTAGAAGGCACATTGCAGCCTTTTTGCACTTAGGAACACTAGACAGCACTACAGCACTATGCTTGGGGACCATTTTAAACAGCACTCCCTCCCTCCCAAAAAAGGGGCACAAAAATGAGAAAAATGTGGTACTAAACAGACCATGAAACAGACACATGTTTACAGTATGAGAGCTGATATAAGGCAGAATGTCTTGTTTGATCTCAGTGGGAACGTGCATATCAGGGGACTCAAATTTTTCCAGTCTGTGCATGCCTACTAATGACTATGAAAGCTCTGTGAGTATCAATTTGGGGGTTACAAATAAATTTTAGTGAGGAGGCAAATTTGCAAATACAAAACCCATGAATGATGAGAACGGACTGTAACTTCTTCATCTTTGTGTCACTGGTTACTACAGTGTTGCCTAACATATACTAGGAGCTCAATACATATATGTTGAATAAATGGAAATAATGTCCCTTAATTTTTCAGCGAATCCCAATTGTATTATCTTGTTTTGTTTTATGCCCTTAAGAAGTTTTTGGTATACTACTTTTGTAAAAGTGAATATTTAGAATAATATGAATGCTTGTTTGGTTAGGTTCACAATTGTTTCCCCTTGGAACTTGAAAGATATTTCTCCCCAATGTCTGGCATCTAAAATTGATGAAAATTCGGATGCCAGTCTAAATCTCAGTCCTTTGTAGTGTGTCTGTTAATCTGCCTCTTTTTGGAAGTTTTTAGGAATTTTTTCCTTTCCTTGGAATTCTGAAAATTCATATGTATTTAGACTCTCTGAATTGGAACATTTATATCTTTCTTTAGCTCTGGGGAATTTTCTTTTATTGTTTCATTGGTCATTTCTTCTCCACCATTCTCTCTGCTGTTATTTACAGAGATCTCATTAGATAAGTTCTAAACTTCTGAATTGAGTTGACATATTTCTTGAAATTTCTTTTATGCATTCCCTTCTTGTCCCTTTGTCCTGTGTTCTGGGAGCATAAGTTGGCTTAAATTTCCAACTCACATATTTACCTTGAGTCATGTCTGTTATGCTATTCACTCTATGTGTTGAGTTTTTAAAAAATTATGTATATATATTCATTTTGAGTTAATTTTTATATAAGATGTGAGAGGTAGGGTACAACCTCATTCTTTTGCATGCAGATATCCAGTTATTCTAGCACCATTCATTAAATGATTATTCTTTCCCATTGAATTGTCTTGGCACCCTTGTCAAAAATCAATTGGCCGTAAATACAAGGGTTTCTTTCTGGACTTTCAATTCTATTCCATAGATTTATATATCTATTCTTATATCAGTGTCACATTGTCTTGATTACTGGAGCTTTGTATTAAGTTTTAAAATCAGCAAGGTTTCCAACTTTGTTATTTTTCAAGATTGATTGGGCTTTCCTGGATCCCTTGTATTTCCATACACATTTTAGAATCAACTTGCCAATTTCTGCAAATTCAGCTGGGATTTTGATAGGAATTGCATTATCTGTAGATCAATGTGGGGAGTACTGCGATGTTAATAATACCAAGCCTTCTAAATCCACAAATGTGCGATGTCTTTTCACTTATTTAGATCTTCTTTAAGTGCTTTCAACAATGTTTTGTGGCTTTTGGTGTACAAGTCTTGCACTTGTTTTGTTAAATTTATTCCTAAGCATTCTATTTGTTTGCATGCTATTATAAATGGGATTATTTTCTTAATTTCATTTTTGGATTGTTCTTTGCTGGTATATAGAAATCTAAGTGATTTTCATGTACTGATCTTGTATCCTGCAACCTTGCTGAACTTGTTTATTAGTTCTAATAGTTTGTGTGTGTGCCTGTGTATTCCTTAGGACTTTCTATATATAAGACCATGTGATCTGTGAATAGACATAATTTTACTTCTTTCTTTCCAACGTGGATATCCTTTATTTATTTTTCTTGTTTAATGTCCCTGTACATTAAAACTCCAGTACAACATAGAATATAAATGGTGAGAGTGGGCATCTTTGTCTTGTTCCTGATCTTACCGGGGAAACATTCAATCTTTCACCGTTAAGTGTAATCTTAACTCTGGGTGTTTTTGTAGAGTTCCTTTATTAGGTTAAGGAAATTCCTCTCTATTCCCGCTTTGTTGAGTGTTTTATCATGTTTTCATCAAATGCTTTTCCCACATCTGTTGAGATGACGTGACTGATTCGCAATAAAAACCTTGGACTCCAAGGCTTGGGTGAGCTTCCCTGGTTGGCAATACTCAGTGCATGTTGTCACAATCATTGTTGGGAGAATTAAACACTGTCCATATGACTCCCCTGGAGGAA